TAGGACCCTCCCTATCCATGGGATCTGCATCCGTGGATTCACTGCCTGAAAATAATAAACAACACACACACACCCCGAAATATCTGTTATACATTTTATAGGGTGCATTTACGAGAGGAAGCCAGAGACCATGCAGTGTACAGTGTTTGATACTTCCGTGTTTTTCAGCATGCACAGGGCGGTGGGGTTTCGAACTGATTCCCCTCTGGATCCCACGATCCTGCTGTACTTGGCTGTGGAGGGAGCAACTCCTTCCAATTAGCATTTGCCTCTAGCACCTTTTTACGTTCTTACGAGTCCTTAGAGTGATGAGGAATAGCTTTGTTTGATACTAGATGGCCCAGTTATACCAGCCTGGATCAGTTTAGATCATATTAAACAAGGTTGCTTTGAGGTGCAGTATGTCATTAGAGACGACTCCCTGGAAAAGACCCTGATGTTGGGAAAGTGTGAAGGCAAGAGGAGAAGGGGACGACAGAGGACGAGATGGTTGGACAGTGTCACCGAAGTTACCAACATGAATTTGACCCAACTCTGGGAGGCAGTGGAAGACAGGAGGGCCTGGCGTGCTCTGGTCCATGGGGTCACCAAGAGTCAGACGTGACTTAACGACTAAACAACACCAACATGTCATATAGGCCGATTCTTGCACCCACATGCAAAGATCGCCCACACCTTAAGCAACCCTATTTAGCATGATCTAGACCAGTGATTCTGAACCTGTGGTATGCGTACCCCCCACAAACCAGGACATTGAGGGGTATTTGAAAAAACATTGATTCATGGCGGGAAACACTGTCAACAGTGTAAGATACAAATACATTTTGAAAGTTGTAAAATTAATTGACTATTATGACAAATGGCAGAGTGGGTTTTCTTTGTTATTTAACCTCAAGGAAAACTCTACTCCCTTGCCTTGCTAATTTAATAAACATTGGGGAGTCCCTCCCTAAACAGTGTGTTGCAAAAATGCCACTACAGTGTGTGTGCTCCGTTGTTTGCCCTGCACAGGCTCAGATTTCACGCTGCTCTGCTTCGTGAACATTCGAGTGTTGCTGCACTGGTACCATATATAAGTCAGCACCTCAGTCAGTCCTGTGAATGGTGTTCAGTGAGTGAGTTCTTCTGTGATGAATTTACTTGATTTAATTGTATCTTTTGAGTTTTGAATGTGTGTGTGTGTATACAGTATACACACACACACACACACACAGTGGTGCCTCGCATTACGATGTTAATTCGTTCCAGCGAAATCGCTGTAGAACGAAAACATCGTAAAGCAAAATTGAAAAGCCCATAGGGCTTGAAACGCACCGTCCAGCGAAGATCCTCCATAGCGCGGCCATTTTTGCTGCCCATGCAGCGAGGAATCTGTCCCAGAAAACAGCGGTAGGCCATTTTGTTTACCCGGCGGCCATTCTGAAACTGCCAATCAGATGTTTTAAAATCGTCGTTTTGTGAGAATCGGTTCCCGAAGCAGGGAACCGATCATCTCAAAGCGAAAAAAACCCATTCAGACCATGGTTTTGCGATCGCAATTGCGATTGCAAAACGATGGTCATAATGCGGTTTCGTCGTTAAACAGGGCACCCATCTTGCGAGGCACCACTGTATACAGTTCTGGGTGCTCCTCACCACCATATATATATGTTCGGTGCATATCCACAGGCCTGTGTGTGTTAAAAGCCAGGGCTGTAAAGATCTCCCAGCTTTGTCCACCCGGTGTCTTGTAACTCTTGTCTGTCTGTCTCTTCAGAATGACTCCTGGGGAAAGCAGTATTCCTATGCGCTGTTCAAGGCCATGAGCCACATGCTGTGCATCGGCTACGGGCAGCAAGCCCCAGTGGGCATGTCTGACGTATGGCTCACTATGCTGAGCATGATCGTCGGGGCCACCTGCTATGCCATGTTCATCGGCCACGCCACCGCCCTCATCCAGTCTTTGGATTCCTCCCGGCGGCAGTACCAGGAGAAGGTAAGTGACCTGCTTTGAGTACAAGCCAGAGCTTTCTGTAAATTTAGAGGTGAGGGGCACACACACCACCCTTCACTTTTAGCCACCGCTCCCTACTTTTTGGAGGTCTCAGTTTGCTTAGTTTTTACAAAAGCAAAGCCTGCTGCTTATATTCTGCCCCATGGCACTTAAAGCCCCCACTTCCCCCATGAGCTAGGTACTCAATTTGACAACCCCAGAAGGAGGGAAGGCTGAGTGAACCTTGAGCCAGCTACCTGGAATCGAACTCGGGTTGTGAGCAGAGTTTCAGCTGCAGTACTGCAGTTTAACCACTGCACCGTAAAGCTCTTGTTTGTAAATAAGAGCGGCTAAGGGTGCACCTCGTTTACAAGGAAAGGGGAGTTTTTCAAGGGAAAACCCCCTTTTCTTTCACTGTTGCAGTGAATGAGAGGCTACAATCTCCACTGTTTCAAGGGGGCCCATAATGCCCAGAAACCCTCCCCCTAGTTTAATAACAGGACGCTCACAAAAGAAGTTGGCACCCAATTTGGTTTACTCATGGAGGACCATTTAAATTTTTCTAAAATAGTTTAAGTAAATAAAGAGCTTTTAGCAGGTGGGGATCTCTGTCCTTAAAGACAAGAGAGTCGGAGGATTGGTGCAGAACATTCTGTGTGGGAGAAACCCAACACCCATATTGTAACCATTTCTGGAATATTGTCCCTGTAGTGTTTTTCAGTGGAAAATGTGTCCATTTCTTTAAAAGGTGTTGTTCCATAACCTGGCTGAGCCACATAAACAATGGATACGATACCAGCCACGTGAGGTACTTTCAAAATTTATGGGTTCCAATATCAGCTGATTTCAGGCATTTGGAACACATCCTTTGAATGCTTTAGGATGATACGAACTAGAGACAAGTTGCAAACTCATTGGCTGTGTCTAAGCGCTCAGCATAGGCCCTGATTTTGTGCATTCTGGGTTTTCAATGCAGAATGCTTGCTCCATGCAATATAATGAAAATGGGCAAGTCTTCTAGCTTGGTTCCTAAAGAAGTTTGCAAGACTCTTGCTTGCAGGCCGCAGATGGAAAGTTGTCTGTAAATAACATATGAATGACCCAAACCCATTAATATTACGAATTGGGGAACCGGTAGTCCTGAAATCCCTCCCAGCATTTTTTTAAATTTTATTATTATTATTATTTTGCTTGAGGAAAAGAAACCAGGATCAAAAGCCTAATCAAAGTTATGGATCTCTCAGGTTGGGGTGCTGCTCTTGAGGAGCGGTTATCCATCACCCTTCTTCAGCAATTGGATTGAAATCCTAGTTTACAAGTTTCCTGCTCCTCTCAAGTGGAATCCACAAACAAGGGGATCTAGATCAAAGCACTAATCTCAATTCGTAGAGAAACATCAACTCACTTCACTATTTTCTCGCCATGTACATTTCTGTCATCAGTCCGTTATTGTGAGGTATTAACAATGTTTGCTGTGTTGTGGTTTGGAGGAGGCTATAGAGCTTGCTTCGTGGAATCTTTTTGTGGGGGGCGGTCACAACTGTTCTGTGTGTGCCCCTTTGGTCTGTGTGCCTCTCCTTTTTGGTGATACATCTCGTTCTGCAATGGGTTACGCTCTGGCGAGTCCAATCTGCCCTTCTGTCAGGAGTTTCCGACTGGTTTTTACAAGACCTTGGGTCTTGGGAGTGATTTTCTGTGTGGGCTTCTTGTCCTCAGATGCTCTGCGGCTAGAATAAATCTCGCCCACTCCAGAACAGGTAAAGGAAGGACTGCCACTCAGAGCGCAGGGACTGCAGGAAGGGTGTCGTGTGATCTGGGAAATTCCTCTGGAAGTCCTCGTTTGAAAACACAAATCTGCACAGCTCTACGGCAGATGGTCTCAGTATGAAGTTTTGGAAGTGATTATCAGTTGAAACTGAAAATTGCTGTTCCGCCATTCTGTCCAAGACACCTGCCAATTTATCGAAACCGCACCAGGAGTGACTGATCCTTGCTGAACTCCAATAAGTTTCGAAGGCTGATTGGAGCCAAGTCTAGTCCTGAATTTACCCTGATACACTAGCCACCATGACATGCTGGATCACCATAATGGGCTTAAGTAGACAAAGAGTCAGACTTGATAAGAGACACGTCCTGGACCTTGGATACGAATGCAGCTGCTGCTACCAGTTTCATAATCTGCTGCTGAGAAACCTTCTCCCCCCCCACCACCACCACACACGCACAAACTGTTTTCTTGCTAACCAAAGCGTCACCTAGTTGGGCGGGAGAGACTGAGCTGCAGACTGGCTCAAATCTTCCTGCATTCAGGTGTATTACTTGCACAAAGTCATGGTGTGGACATCCTGAATGTGTGTGTACAGGCTCTAGTTCAGTTGTTCTCAACCAGGCATTCTCGGACTGCAACTCCCAGAAACCCCGGCCAGCACAGCTGGTGGTGAAGGCTTTGGGGAGCTGCAGTCTAAGATCACCTGGGTTACCCAAGATTAGGAACCACTGCTCTAGTACATGCAGTCCTGGATCCTGCTGGCCCTTGGAAAGTAACTAGTTACAAAAAGTTACATATAATTTCTTCTTGCAGTAACTTAGGTACATTATGGTTTGTAACTTAACAAGGGATACCTTTCCTTTTTTTGAGGCAGCTAGTTTTTTAGTTCCTTTTGTTGTAAAGGAATGTTGCATGGCTCAGGCAGTGGCTTATACCCATGTGATGTGCTCCGGCTATTGAAACAGCCGTGAGGTAGGCAGGAAAAGAATGTGTTTGGTGCTACATGTTGGTAGCAGGTAGCATTCAAAAGTCTCTCTCTTTTTTAATATAAAAAAGTAACTGAGAAGGTAACTATTTTACTTGCTCTTTGTGAAACTGGAAATTAAAGAGCAATTGTCTTAAAATTATCCCACCTTTTAAAAAAGAACCCAACATAGTTTATTGCACTGTTATGTTGCTGAGTGGTTTAGGTACAAAGGTAGGCAGGAAAAGAATGTGTTTGGTGCTACATGTTGGTAGCAGGTAGCATTCAAAAGTCTCTCTCTTTTTTAATATAAAAAAGTAACTGAGAAGGTAACTATTTTACTTGCTCTTTGAGAAACTGGAAATTAAAGAGCAATTCGGACAGCTGATCGATGGTTTCAAAATGGCCACCGGGTAAATAAAATGGCTCCCCACTGTTTTCTGGATTCCTCACAAGACAGCCACCGAAAATGGCCGCCCTATGGAGGATCTTCGCTGCATGGTGAGTTTCCAGCCCATTGGAATGCATTGAAGGGGTTTCAATGTGTTTCAATGGGCTTTTTATTTTCACATTACGACGTTTTCATTCTACAGCGATTTCGCTGGAACAAATTAACGTCGTAATGCGAGGCACCACTGTATCTGGCTGTGGAGCCCAAAGTTGGGAGTTCAATTCCCCACTGGGGCCCCCAGAAGAAGAACCAGCCTGTGTGGCCTTGGGCAAGCTGTGCCATCCCAGTGAACCACTTCTGAACATTCTCTATCTAGAAAACCCTGCAAAGGTTTGGAATTGACTTGAAAGCATGCAATTATTATTATGTTGCTTGCTCAATATTTTTGCTGACAGAATTTGTCAAACCCAGTTCAGAGGAGTGAGGGCATTTAAAAAGGAGCAGTATTACAATTTATCACAGATAAATGGTACACGATCCAGCATTTTGTAAGACAAATGTAGCTTCTTTCTTAAGACTGTGGTGCAAACTCAGCAACTTTCTGTATTCAGTTTTTATTCCTGTCATTGGTAAACAAGGTAATACGGATGGGTTTTCTTTCTGTCTTTCCCTTTGCTACATTCATAATGTTGCATCCATTAGTCTTTAGAAAGAAGAATGGCCATAATTCAGTTGTGTAGCATAGAAAACACACAGAGAAGACCAGTTGACTCAACAGGGATTTATTGAGTCAACTGTTCCATAAATTATACTGATTCAAGTGATATATTGGTTCAAAGGAAGGAAATACTGTGGACCCAGGATGGTGTTCATTCCAGTATAAAATGGCCAATATACTGAATTGATTGAATGAATTGAACTGAATTAATGGAGTTGGTCACAGATCGAATAAATAGAAAAAAAGAATTAATTAAAGTTAGAATAACAGAATAATGAAGCTGGAAGAGGCCTATACAGCCATCGAGTCCAACCCCCTATTCCATGCAGGAATACAAATCAGAGAATATCTGCCAGGTGATTACCCAAGTTTTTCTTGAATGTCTCCAGTGATGGAGCCCTCACCGCTTCTCAAAGTCATTGGTTCCATTGTTGTACTGCTCTAACGGTTAGGAGGTTTTTCCTGATATTCAACCGAAATCCGGCTTTGTGTAGCTTGACCCCATTGTTGTGTGTCCTGGACTCTGGGATGATGGAGAACAGATCCTGCCCCTCTTCTGTACGACAGCCTTTCAAGTACAGTATTTCAAAAGTGCTATCCTATCTCCTTTCAGTCTTCTTTTCTCAAGACTAAATAAACACACCCTTGAAAAAGACTGATAGTCCAAAACGTGTTAGGCATTTTATACTGGAATAAAGAGCATTAAGTATTTTTTTACAACCTGGGTAGAGATGGGCAGAAATCACCAGTTCGGCAGTTTTGTGCCAATTCAATCATCAGCCACAGCATTTTTCTGTGGTTATACCCCCTACCCCCTTGGGCTGGCACCCACTCAGAGGCTGTGCCAGGAAGGCAAATGGAGGGGATAGGGCCCCTAATCATGGAACAGTTATGCAGCTGTAATGAACTGTCAAACTTATGTTTTGTGCCCATCTCTAATCCTGGGACTAAAATCTCCCCTTCCTTTGACCCCAACATTTCAGTGGATTTACCAGTTCCTTCCTTTATTGATTCAGGTGGCCCATTCTAACTGCAGCTCACTACGCTTAAGTACGTTGAAGTTAAACTTGGTCTGTTTGGATCAATGGAACCTAAGGAGTTGACGCACCGAGTCCCCATAAATTCAGTGGACCTACTCTAGTGCAATTTTATTATGCTAAGC